CATACATATTGTTCCAGGTTATATTTTGAAAGTTCATGTGGCACTATCATTATATGAGAAAAATAGAAGTTCTAGGACTCGACAATTTAAAAATAAAACAGATTTAACTAGACATGACAAAATGGAAGAGGAATGGAATATCTTTATCTCCAGGAGGACATGGTAATGAAAAAGTGGGCGTGTCAATTACCTACATCTTATCAAGCTAGAATCCTGCATTCCAGAAGAAAAACACACATGCAATCTAGTTTGTCTTAGTGTTTTCCAAACTTCTCTTGCTGGCAAATTCATCTGTATTTAACAAAAGCAACGACCCAACAGAGACACGATGTTTTCTCATTGGCACCTTAAGGATTGGCCTGCACATAATAGGAGCTCAGTATATATGTTAAGTGAATGAAGAATTCTTTAACAAAAGGTAGGGGGAGGGCATGGAAGGCAGGATAGCCTGAGTGATAATTGCAAATATTATATTTAAAACTTCCTAATTTTTATATTTTAGTGGTTTTGATTACAGAAATAAGAGTGCTTTATTTTGAGGATGTTATGTAAATGAAATAATTATGATACTGAAGTTGCAGACTCTCAATAAAGACTTGACCATGACTTTGGTTCCCAGTGCTTCTAGTGCTGTCTGGAACACCTAGGTCCAAGAGAGGACAACTAAAAAAAAATAAAGGAATGAATGAAGTCAGATGATACTATTTCTATATTTTATGTCAATCTTGGGAAATATATAGACTTCCATTTTTATTGAGAGTCTGCAACTTCAGTATCTTAGTTATTTATATAACAAAATTATCCTATTATGTGCAGTCTGTCCTTCAGGAGCCAATGAGGAAACTGTACTGGCTGACAAAGCTTCCTGTCCTCATGGAGCTTAGTTTCCAGGAGACACAGGTGCTGATTGACGAAGCAATTGCAAATTGGCTTGATAATGGTAAGGTTGTGTGCACCACTGAAGCAGAACTCGGTATGGGTGGCCTGGATGATCTTTCTAGAGATCTTGAGCAAAGATCTGGGAGAAATGAGCAAGAGGTATACACCAATGGTAAAGGAAAAACTTAGCAGTGAGAAAAACACATGGTCCTGATGCAGACATATGCTGTGTGGTTGAGTAGCAGCAAGAAGGCAAGTGGGCAGGGAGAGGAATAGGGAAAAGGAGAGAGCTGGAGACATTTGAGCTTAGGAGTTAGTGGAGACTGAAGCCTAGGGCACACTGCTGGCTTTAACCTTGCCATTTCAAAGTCTCTATAGATTATGTTCTGAATTCTGTCTCCCAGAATTTGTACTTTTGTATTGGTTGGTCACTTCTGTTATGTGGTATGACTGTCTTCTGTCTCTCCAACAGTGTCCCATGCTGTGAGAAGATAGTTTGTCACACACTTGCTTTCCGTGGATCTAAGTTTGATGAGTTGATTGTTTAGCACACGCTCAACTCTTGGTTATATGATAGTCTTTAAATTATGTTTTATATTTTGTGCTAGGCTGTGTGTTTGTTAAAACAGTAGTATTTTACGTTTATTGAGACATGCTTTCTTTGTATTTCCTGTCTCATATAGTCCTTATCAGCTTTATGATGAATGTTACTCTCAGATTCATCAATGTGAAAGCCTAAAGAAGTTAAATAACCAACAGGATTCGAATACTAGGTGCAGAGTCCTGGCTTGTATAGTTAAGAGAACAGAAGCTGCTATAAAAAGCAAACCTCCAAGGACATAATTACTTAAGCATAATAGAAATGTATTTCTCATTCATAGAAGATGAGACACTGAGGTTTCTGATTGCCAAAATGCTCCCCTCCAAGTACTGATATGAAAGTTCCAGGCCCTTGTCTTCACAACCATCAAGATCATCCAAAGCTGATAGAGACTAGGGTGCAAGAAGATCTTTGCCAAGCCTTGTGATGATACATTTCAAACAGTCCACTGTGGCCCTGTCACATAGCCATACCTCACTGCTAAGGAGGCTGGTTTATCCAGAAGAAAAAGATACAGCCAGGAACCCAAAGCATTCTGAATCTTCAGACAGCCTTATGATGCCTGTGTAGATTTTTGTGTATTTCACGCACTTATCTAGTGAGTGAGTGGGGAGTGCGTCTACATTGTGGTTGGAAATGCTAGTGTGTGAGTTTCTCCACTGCCAACTGTGTTCCCTGTGTCCCTTTTGTCTACTTGTAAATACCTGCCTCGTTTTAACTGTAGTGTCTTAACTTGAGTTTTCTACAATAAAAAGAAAAGAAAGACCAAGCCCCAGAATTGCAAAAGCAGTAAGCAAAGTGTTTCTGAGGGATTATTTTTGTTGTGTCAGCCTAGGTAAGTTTCTAACTCCACCAAAGCAGAGTAATGACTTAATAGTCATCCTCTGACTGTTACGGAGGATCTTATGTCTAAAAGGGAAACACAGGTGTGTGGAGAGGCAGAGAATCAAAACATAATGACTAAATAAAGGCTTTGTGACTTTTAAAATTAAACCATGTGTTTAAAATTGAATCATGTGTTTGTAGCTTTCCTAGAAACTATAAAAGTTCAGGCACCAAGGTGTTCCTAAAAGATTTTAAAGTAACATTCTCTTTGTATTAGATATCAAGCGATTAAATTCTTTTGTTTAAATATCAGTTTGGAATCCTGGTGCTGAGTGTATCCGGACTTGTAAGGAGCTACAGTCCTGAGCACATTGGCTTTGGCCATCTCGTCAACTTATCTACAAGGCATACAAGTTGCTCCCCAACAGCAAAGTTCTGTCTGCTGCTGGGGCATTTGCAAGAAACTCCGCAGCTGTGCAGTCACAATGCCAATATCATTGTAAATAATAATCCTTGGAATTGCAAAGTCTGCCTAGATTAAGTGGTGATTTAGGCAAGAGAGAATTGTAGAAAGTTCACTCTTTAAATCAAGTTTTCTAGTTAACTACTTTATCTAGTTGAATATTTCTATTGTATACAAATAGCTCAATTTATGCAAATCTAATTGTGTATTTGTAGCATTTTGCTTATATACTATTATTGAACATCTCTAGAACCTCCTCCTCCCACCCCCTTTAACCTTCCTAACTTTCCTTGATCCTTTGTGGCTTATCTCAGCTTGTTTATGTGTACTGCTGTTGTAAACTTCAGGTAGGAGTAGTGGCATTACAGGGACCCTGGACTGGCCGTGTGTACTTTTTGAAGCCAGAGATACATCAAGTCCTGCAGTGCCCACAGTGCAGTATTTTGTTTCTTCCAGATCAGGATCTTCATTTTGGTCAACAGGAACTCTGTTCCTTTAAGACTGATCATCCTCAGTTCAATTTGTAGGCTGTTTGGCTATATTGTTGATCTTTAATGGCATCAACTAATTTATTCTCTTTAGCCTCTGAAGCCCGATGTCTCAGTGACTTTTGTGTGATCCTCTTGAAAGTCTGAAGACATATTTTCCTGTAAGCCCCTCTATTTAAACTAACCTTAAAACATTCCAATCCATTTATAAGGAAATAGTAAAGATATATTTCTCCTATAGAGATCTGCATCATAAATTAATTCCTTATTAGCCCTTGTCTTAGAGTTACTGTTACTCTAGTGAAACCTCATGACCAAAAGCAAGTTTTTGTGGGGAAAGGTTTATTTGGCTCACACTTCCACATCAGTTTATCATCAAAGGAAGTCAGGGCTCGGACCTGGAAGCAGGAGCTAATGGGGCACCCAACAGAGAGGTTCTGCTTCCTTCCTTACTCATCATGCTTCGCTCAGCCTGCTTTCTTATGGAAACCAGGAATGTTAGCCCAGGGATGGTACTACCCTCTATGGGCTGGGCCTGGCCATATCAGTCACTAATTTAAAAAATGCCTTACAGCCTGATCTTATAGGAACATTATCTCAACTGAGGTTCAATCCTTTCAGATGACTTTAGTCTATGTTAGACTGACATAAAACTAGCCAGTTTTACAATTACTCTAGCCAAGTAGAAAACTATCATTTCTGCGTGTGCTCTCTCTCTCCCCTCCCCCCTCTCTCTGTAAACATTGTTAACACATTACATAACATAGAATTTATTCTGTGAATCAGTATTTAACTGGCTCTGAGGCACTGAGTAATCCACATAGTTAGGAACTTGTCACTTCACCCATCTCCAGAACTTTTTCATCCTCCCACACTGGAAGCCTGTGTCTAGTACACATTACTCCATCCCCACCCCCATTCCCTTCTCTCAGCTTCTGACAGCTACTATTCTAAATTATGAATTTGATTATGGGTACCACAGTGTAAGTAGAACCTTGTTTATGTGTACTGCTGTTGTAAACTTCAGGTAGGAGTAGTGGCATTACAGTGGCATTATAGTGGTTCTACAGGATAGTAGAACCTACTATCTTAGCTCTTTGATATCTGGCTTATTTTACTTAAGATAATGTTGTCAAGATTTATTCATGTTCTTCATGTCCCTGCCTTTTTAAGGCTGAGTAATATTCTGTCATGTGCACATTCCACACTTTGTTCACCCAGTGATAGACACTTGGCCTGTTTCCATCTTGTGGCTGTTGTGGCCGATGCCTCTATGAAGATTGAACATTAATTTGCACACATTGGTGTAGAGCTATCTGCCTTCAGTTTGTGAAATGGGGTTTATATATCTGAAATCGGGGTTGTTAGATCATTTCTGTCTTTAAATTTGCAGAGACCTACTGCAGTTACGTGTCTGCTTTATGCCTAGTTTTTGTGGCGCCTGTTTTGATTACTGGTAGATGGTATTAGGAATTAGAGAGTAGTAACACTGTTCTGTGTTGTTGCGTGTTAATGTCTCTGTCACTTCTGCATCCCTACGAACTGTTGCTGTGCTTGTGTGTACCAGATGCCCAGTAAATATCCCTGAGCAATTTAAACAAACAGAACATGACACCCCTCAATGTTGCCACCATTACAGCTGGGGGACACTCAGAAGAACAGCAAAGACATGGTATTCTGAGTTGGTTTTACAGTAGGGACTCAGCTAGCACCTCTGACGATCTCTCTCTCTCTTCCTTTGCAGACTCACATTTCAAGACTCCCTCCTGGTGCTGTGGCAGGACAGTCCGTGGCAATTGAAGGGGGGGTTTGCCGCCTGGAGAGCCCTGTGAACTAACTCCGTAGGCTGAATATGAAGTGTCTGAGAGGCATTTCAGAGCCTGAGCTTTGGGCTGTTTAATTGAAGTTGGATCTTTTATCTTCCTTGTTTTGTAATTCTTATTGCAACCTCGGGCACTGCTTGGGACACTTAAGTGCTGCTATACTTAGTGCTGGTTGACACTCGAGTCTTAGATGGGTGAGCGGAAGCATGTGTGGGTGTGTATCTGTGTGCAGTGTGTGTGCTTGCTTCTCCCTGATGGGATAAGTTCTCCTCAAGTGTAACCTATGAATGAGAATGATTAAATCTTTACAAAATGTGTGCTTTAACTGTTTACAAGTAAACCTAAAGTTGTAGAAAGCTTTTTGTTTCTTCAAGAGGTACCAACTATGGTTGATACAATGTGTCTGAACTGAAGAGTGAATCTGCTTGTTTAACGACTTGACCTTGATTGTAGTCCATTTAATAACAGTAATCAGTAATATGGTGTCAGTTTAAGTGGATGGTGCAGTAACTTAAACTGTTGTTCTCATCCCTCATACAGGGCCTTTTTCCTTGAACACAGAATGGTTTCAGTGAAACCATTCTAGCAGAGAATTAAAATCATAACCTTTTAAAGTAATGGTCTTATTGATAAAGTTTGTGCTTCTTTCCTGAGCTATTTGAAGCTTAAGTATTGCATAGCTTTGCGCCGTGTGTACTATATTATGAAAGAATATGTAAAGAGAGTGTTCAGTAACATACAGTTTTAATTTGTGTATAATGGAATGTTATTTACAATGTAACACTGTAAATAAGAAAGCAAAAGTTTATGGGGAAAATTCAATATTATCTTTGTTTCTTGTTTAAATATATTTTTAAGATAAAGGTACAAAAATAAAAGAAGCATATTCCTGGGTGTGGTGTGTGACAACTTGCCTCTGACTAATCTTTCGACTCCTAGACTGGAGATCTGTGTTTATTTCCTTCACCGAAAACCTCTTGCAGGTCTTGCTAGCCTAGCCCCATGAAGCTACAGCCAGCACTAGCAAGAGGGAAGGCACTTAAGGTGACTGAAGGCTCAGTATAGAAACACCTACAGTTTCCACTGCAACTTGATATAAATAACAAAGGGAAGGAGGAGGAACGCTCTGCTTTGAAAAGCTGTAGTGGCAGCTGAAAGCTAAATGTGGTGGTTGATAAATTGTTCCTAAAGGTTATATTTAGGGATTCTGAAGCCACATAAGAAAACCCAGACTTTCCTTTTAATTTTTTTTTTAAATGTAAGAAGTGGTTATCAAGAAGATACTAAAGATAGACTTGCTTAGGGGGAGGAAGTTTCCCTGCAACGTATAATCATGGCTCAGGGCGGGGACTGATAAAGCCTCAGATGAAATTATATACTTGACATGGATGTATGGCCAAATTATAAAGGAAAGACAACCAAAATGAAGAGGGTGTAAATATGAATGATTTGGGAGTTGCTGATTTGTATTCCTTGTACAGGCAATTACATTTGTCTCGCTATGTTCTTGTAGACAGGTTGGTGCCATAGTATCTGTTTCTCATTCTTAATGAGACTGAGAACGTAGGGAGAGATGGACTGGCTGCTAGGGAGCCTTTGGTTTCAAATGCTTTCAAAGACCTGTTACCTGTTGGCAGGGCTTTCCTCCCCCCTGCGGCTGGATTGGATCACATAAAACTATCAGGACATTTAGAGTCTGAAAATCATCTGACCTTTTTCACCAGGACTTCAGTTCTTTCATCCCCCCCCCCACTTACTCTAGTCATATTTAAAAGTCTGACTTTGTTTAAGACCCCTTCTATGGAGAGTTTAAAAACTGGTCAGCAAAATAGGATACCACCCCTCTAAGAACAGTCTGTCAAGGCTGTTCTCCAGTATTCTAAACGCTTCTTAAGAGATAGTGTAGAGTCTGAAGCAGGGAAAGCGCTATGCAGAATCATGGAGGCGAAAATGAAGTGTGTTTCTAAATTTGGTCATTGTACAGTCATGCTTACAGTCATGCTCAGTTTCAGGTACTGAATCCAAATGGATCAACAGATGTAAAATGGTCACCACACAAAAGTAGGACAGGTAGAAGCAGATAAGAAAATAACTGTATTCTCCAACTCCAGGATCTCAAACTGTGTTTTAAGAAGCCCACTTTTAATGTGATATCCTCGATTATATGCCTGTTTTCAGTCTTTCTAGGAGCCAAGAATTAGACGCTTTAATCTCCTAGTACAATAAAAACCTGTCCTGGATCCCTTAAGGGCAGCACTGTTGCTCGGCTCTGAGTTTGAAAGTGGGACATCTCAAGGGCTTGGTGAGAGCTAGGCTCTGACCTTTCTTCTGTACGTGGTGTACTGTGCTATCCAGGGCAGTGGTGGCCATGTGACTTGGTCAACCTTGCTTGTCTCCTCTGTGGGTCTGCCTGACACAGATCCTGTTCCTTCTTATATATTGATCTCTACTTTTAAGTGTGAACTTGACCTGTATCTGCTTATATGCCTGCTGGAACTGTATCAGCCATATGCATAAATAAGTTCCAGATGTTATTTTATAGTGTTTCTTTAGGAGCAAAGACAATTAGATTTGGTTGATAAATATGAGGGCATCTTCTAGGGCTGCTCATGATCCCTAGAACATGATTGTTCTTTTGACCCAGTGAATGAAAAGTCATTTTTGTCTTGTTCCTAATTTTAGTGAAAATACTTTGAGTTTTTCTCTATTTAGGAAGCTGTGAGCTTCCTGTAAATTGCTTTTGTTACTTTGTGATGTGTCCATTGTTTTCTTCAGAACTTTTGTTATAAATGAATGTTAGATTTTGTTGAAGACCTGTTCTGCAGCTCATGAGATGGTTATGTGTGTTCTGTTCCTGTCTTAGGGTTTTACTGCTGTGAACAGACACCATGACAAATGCACCTCTTCTAAGGACAACATTTAATTGGGCTGGCTTACAGATTCAGAGGTTCAGTCCATTATCACCAAGGCAAGAACATGGCAGCAGCCAAGCAGGCATTGTGCAGGAGGAGCTGAGAGTTCTACATCTTCATCTGAAAGCTACTAGCAGAATACTGCCTTCCAGGCAGCTAGGGTGAGGGTCTTAAAGCCAACACCCACAGTGACACACCTACTCCAACAAGGCCACACCTCCTAATAGTGCCACTCCATGGGTCAAACATATACAAACCATCACAATCTCTTAGTCTGTTTATACAGTGGATTAGTTATATAGTAGATTAGGTATGTTGAACCATCCCTGTGTCTCTGGACTGAAGTTGACTTGATCACAGTGGGTAATGTTTCAATGTATTCTTGAATTTTTCTATTTTTTTAAAGTCTAGAAATGTGTCTTTTAAAAACATATCATAGCTAAGTGAACATAGTATTAGATTGACTCCTGATGACTCACTGTTTTATCCTCCTAGACTAATACAACTTAGCCTTCATGAGAGAAGCTTCTGTTTGCAGTAGATGGTATTCTACATGGAGACCCATAACTGGCCTAGGTACAGAGAATAGATGACTTTGAATGGGAAGTTTCAGAAAGACCATTGTGTCTTTAGACTGCTTTTTCAGGATAACCTAACCCTAACCCTAACTTCCTAACAACTACCTGTTAGGAAGTTATCTGTACCTCAGTGCCAGAAGATATCTCTGGGAAGCATAGAAGCTTGCCCCATCTCTATACACAGCAAGCCATGGGTATCAGAAAATTAATACTTCTCCAAAAGAACTCCAAATGTGCCATCAAAGTTGAGAAATCTGCATCTAAGTCTGTCGCAGGTCCTGTACTGCTGACATTTCTAAGGAGATGGTGGATACGTGGCCTCTGAAGAGCAGCTTATCTAGGACTTCCTCGAGGCCTACTATGCATCACAGAACAGACCTAGTATTGTATTTACAGAGGTTGGAGGAGAGCTTACCCAAAGGCACATTATTGCTTTAAGGGACCTTAGAGCCCAAACTGGTTCAGAGTACTAACTGCTTCAGAGTACTGTGCCACGAATGACCATGTAATAACAGCCTCATATGAAACTCATTTTGAGATGGCATCTTTCAAGCTGGGTGTGGTAGTACATGCGCATGATCTCAGCAATCAGCATGCAAGTGGCTAAAGCAGGAAGATCATGAACTTAAGTTCGGTCAAAGCTACATAGGAGAACTGTCAGGGCATTTTGAGGGAAGTTGTTCTTGGGTGGAAGACCTCCTAAGGCAATCTAGGTGAAAGCTGTTCCTCCTTCTGAGGAACATTGGCACAAGAGAAGACTGAGCCTAGAAGAAGTAAACTGTTGTGTGTTTTATAAACCTTTTATAGAATCCTGTTAACCAGAGAGAAAGCATGATTGGATAGATGTCATGGGCTATTAGTGGGAATGAATGGAAGATTGGCAATGTAAAATTATTCCTTGTAAGTTCACATTTGTTCTGGGACATTAAGAATTCCTAAATAATGCACAGTCTTTTTTTTTTTTTTCCAGCATAGTTTGGGTTCAGGTCTACAAGGTATTAGCCCAGATGTCTATGATCAGAGAGACCCATAGGCTGACCAGACTGACCGGGCAGTTTTTCTTTTCCCACAAACTGCTGTCCAAAGGAAGGATTAAATCTAACATTGGCCAGGGCTGCTCTCCAAGGAGCCCACTCAGCTTCCAGAAGCCATCATCCAAGCCCTAGGTGGTTTACCATGACTAGTTGTGGAAAGTGTGGAGGGAACGTGAGCTCAGTGGTTTCTCCTTTACATGATGCTGTTACCAAAGCCCTGAAACCACAGCAAGCAAAACCAGGGACAGGCGAAAGATTCCCTGCCATGCACAGACATAGGGACTCCTCTGATTAACAACCTCAGAAGCTGGAAAGAGAAAAACTGAAATAATTCCTCTAACTTCTGCTATTAGATCAGTATCCATTCACATGGCCTCTTTAAAGCCTGGAAAAGTCATCAGTACTTAAGAGATAGGGGATTAAGAAAACTTGGCATCTACCTGCTTCATCTAGAAGTGGTAAGATTTTAATTTCTTCCCCAAACTTGTTAACCATGCCTACCACTCTAGTGATTGCTAACTCAATCCTCTAGGTGCTCTGGCTGAAACTCTTGAGTCATCTATTTGACAGTCTCATGCTAAATAAACACCCCAGATTTTAGTAGCTTTAAACTATTTGCTCTTGGTTCTGTACCTGGGCTTGGCTTCCCTCTGTGCATATTCTGTTATTCTTGCTGATAGTGCCTGGTGTTCTATGGTAAATTGGAGGGTTACTTAGAGGCTGGACCCATCTGGCATACTGATGTTTCATCCTTCCTGCATGCCCAGGGCTCCTCTTTGTAATCTGTCCATGCCATCAACTTGAAAGATAGTATCACAAGACTTTCAAGAGCACAAAAGCAGAAGTTGGTTAGGGCTAAGGTTGGGTTCAGACTTGTCTGGCCCAGCATCACTTTTGTTACATCGTTTACATCAAATTGGCTGGGACAGTGCAGGTTCAAAAGGAAGGAACTGGAGAAGGACATTAATTCCAGAAGCCACCAGAAGTTCACTGGGCGTCCCTAACTGGACATTCGAGGATTTTTATCTTCTATTCCACAGTCAATCCACCAGTGAGTCCCACGGGCTCTGTTTGACAGTACATCCTGAGTCCAACTACATACATCTCTACTGATTCCATCAAGATCTCTGTTGCCAGGATAATTACAACGACTCTTCACTGACTTCACTGCTTCCGTTCTTTCCCTAACAGGCACTTGTCTGCTTGAACCCAAAGTAGTATGATCATGGTACCTCTTTGTTCAGAACTTCCATTATCTTTTGCTCTATAGTCCTTCACATTCCTGGGATTTACTTTCCCTTGTTTTATGACTGTTTCATTTTGTTCCTTTGGTCACTCTGATCCTTCCTTGTAGCATGTCAGAATCACTCGTGTGATTGTAA